ATACATTTAGCGATAAGCAGGATGCCGCGGCAAAGTTGTCAACTCGAAAACATGCATGTCTCAGTTCTCTACAATCGACATCATGTTCTCTGCACTCCGACATTTATCACATAATCAGAAAAGGACACCCATTGGGGCAATTGCATTGGTGAAATTAATGCATCCTCGGATAAAAGGGGTTGTCATACCTTGAAATTCACCAGCTTAATCTAGAAGCAAAATCCATAGTAGCTCCATAGACAACTATGTTTCACATTTGATCTTGCTTTCGTCCTACTATAGAACTACATCTAATGCAACACGCTTGCTTGCTTTGATCACGAAACCAATACGCACTGGTATGTTGCTGGAAGCAATAGTCATCTCGTTATCATAAGATATATCATGAGGCCATTGCACATAAATCAATCTGAATCCCCATGATGGAGAAACAGCATAAACGTCCCATTTGTAGGTGCCTGAACCTTGGAAACTTTCACAGATCCAGCAATGGCCCGAAAAACTCTCCGCATGTCCCGATCGGGATAATGTGTATGATCTGCCGCGGCATACGCGCATTGATATCATTTACAAGAGGCACTGCTCCGATAGATTGATGAAGCACAAATTACTGAAAGGGCTCGAACTCTCAAATTATTTTGATATAAAAGAATATGTGTTTTCCAGCAGGATCATCCAACATTCACACATTCATATCTCCTTCCCATTCCTTTTTTTATTATGAAGTTCTTTCTCAGCAGTGCTGCCATCATTTTGCTCAGTGCCCAACAAGCATTTGCAGCAAAGACATGTGCCGTCAAGAGTTCTGGTGGTGATGATGCAGCCAACATTGCCGATGCTTTCAAGAACTGCAACGATGGCGGTACCGTTGAATTCACCAAGGGCACTACTTACAACTTGAAGTCGGTTGTCAGTGTTGAAAAGCTTCAAGATATCACTGTGAAATTCGAAGGCACCATCAATCTCCCTGCCTACAACACCAAGTTTGAGGATGAAAAGGCATTCATTTATCTTGCAGGCGACAATATTCATTTTAGCGGTGCAGGCACCATCAATGGCAATGGACAAGGCTGGTATGTTATTGTAGATTACTTATAATCATACGAGTAGTAGTGATATTGACGTGGATGAATGGGTTGTAATATAGGTACGATGCCAAGAATCGCAAGGCACCTCCACTTTTCAAGCCCAAGGCAACCAACTCTTATTTTGGTGGTTTCAAGATTATCAAGGCTCCTCGCTCTCACTTTAGTGTCAACAACTGCAAGAATGTTGTCTTTGAGCAGATCAATATCAACACCGTGTCTGACGATGAAAAATTGGATGCTCACAACACGGACGCCTTTGACGTTTCTCAATCCCAAGATATTGTTATCCAACACTCCACCATTGTGAATGGTGATGATTGCATTGCTGTCAACCGCGGTATGGTTATTATCATAAGAAATGTATGACGAAATTACTTAACTTTATCATTTAGATGTGACCAACTTGACTGTGTCGAATCTCGACTGTACTGGTAGCCATGGTTTCAGCGTTGGATCGCTTGGCAAAAAGGGTGAAAGCACAGAGACTGTAAAAGATCTGAAGTTTATTTCCAACAAGTGCCATAATTGTCAAAATGGTGTCAGGTATGTAGCGCGCAACGGTAGTCAATGTTCTATGAGCTCATCCTAAGGCATTATGTATAGAATCAAGACTTGGCCTGGTGGCAAGGGCTCTGTTTCTGGTATCACTTTTGAAGACATCACTCTTGATAACGTTGAGAACCCTATTCTCATCACCACCCACTATTGCGATAATCAGCAACAAGAATACTGCGACGGCGAAGATTCCCACTCGTTGAGCATTAGCGATGTCACCATTTCTGGTATCTCTGGGTAAGTTGGCACATAAATGTTCATTTTATTAAAGCCAGTACTCATTATTTGTATAGTACTGCATCCACCAAAAAGAGCAACCCCATTGTTAGCATTGACTGCTCTACCGACACTCCTTGCAAAGGATTCACTCTCTCGGATATCACTGTCAAGGGCCATGATAAGACCAAGCCCAATGTCTGCACCAACTTGGAAGGATCTGATAAGATTTCATACTGCAATTAAGAGAGTGCTAGCAGTTACTGACTGATCAATAAAGAACATTTCAATGATATGCACGCAATACTAGTATTTGTGTTTATTAGATCGTCGTGATACAGAACAGTGGGTGTAAAATGGTTTCTTGGGGGAAGGGAGGGGAGAAACAATCGATCGCATCTTTTTCTTCCTTTGCATACTACCATGACAACTCCCAGTGAAGAATCCACACCTTCCATCCACATGGCATTGACACCTTCCAGTCGTCTTTCTCAGCTTACATTGGATAGTTGTCAACCAAACGATTCACCACGTACACGATATTTCGCTTGTCAACCAGCTGAAGACTTTACTACCAAATGGGAACGTACTTTTTCTTCAGAACATCAGCAGCATCCTAATTTGTCCATGGTACTCGATTCAGACAAGATTTGCTTTGAACATAGATCACAGGTAAAGGATTTGTTTTAGAAGCTTTATTGTCGTTATAGTGTGCTGGTGTGTGTATAAGATAGCTTGTACTCATTATTGCATTTATCCTACCGACCATAGGCGACTCAAGAAAGATTTACGATTGACACATTGTTTGATATGGAAATGCAGTTCTCAGAACAATATCTATACAAGGATGAACATTATGATCCTACAGCATCTTGGTTGGATGAAATTTATTGTGAAGAAGATGAGGATGATGGTGATGTAACCATGGAAGAAGAAGATGATGACAACCGTGCAACAACCATCAATGATGAGGAAGAAGACGAGGATGAGGAAAATCGTCCACCACGACAATGGCGATCTCGACGACATCAAAAGTCAAGGATAAAGCAACCACAGATGATCATTTATCAACACCATTCACGTGCACCATTACAAGAACTTCCTTTGGATGATGATGAAGATGATCAAGAACAAGGTGGTGGTTTTCCACGCAAGAAGAAGAATACGACTCGTCGAGGAAGCTTTCGATTAATGCGATCACTCTCCCCACCTGCTGCTTCCAATCGTAATGCATCTGCTAAATATTGATTAATGATACCCTTTTCCCCCGGCTAGCGACATGTTTGTCTCTCGATCCTCATTATACACACAGCAGTAGTAGTTTTTGCTCGCTATATCTATATCCACATAACCCTTTTGCTTGATAAATAACAGTGTATCTGTATTGCATATATCTCTGGATCGCTTTCATTATGCAGTGTATTTCTTAATGAGTAAAGCTACATTGTCCAAGTTTTCTGCCGAAAACATAATATGATGACTTGGATCTGGTAGAAAAAGTGTAAATGGGGGATGCTAGAAGGTCTACAAGTGATTTGACTCTTTCCAATAACCGAGCAATCAATCCCCTTTGCATCATTTTATACACGTCGACGATTGTTCTTTGATATTTGACATGCAATTGCATGGTCCATCCCAGCTGACTTTCGAGTTCATTGGAAAAGACAAAGACCATATTAAATAATGCACCATGTTGATTCCAATCTTAGATAATGTATCACATCACCCACTCCCAACAACAATTCAAACACACATGTCTTATTCGTTTTCTTACGAACATTGCATTACTACTTGTAATAGCCATAAATAGCAAACACAGTAACGGATGAAGAATATAAGGGTGGAATAAGCTAGCGAAAACAAGGGTGCTCTTGCATTCCATGCACGTTACCCCAATTATCTCCAAAGTACCTCGCGAGTGTTCTTAACTGTGGATAGCTTGGTTGATGCTATACTGCTTTGGCCTTGTCAACATTCGTCGGCTAGGGAACCAATTGGCGTTGAAGGAAACGAATAAAACTTCAATTCTACCATAATTCTTTTCTCCCATCCTATCTAAGCTCTCGCCAGTGGCTATGTCTGTAATTGCTTGCTGTCCACTTGGCATTGTAAAGGCTTAAATCGTGTCAAGGTGCATAAATAAAGCTGGCTGGCAAGGTGTTAGGTGTTGGTTTTGGATAATGTGAAAGGGATAGATTGATTCACAATAAGCACCAAGTGTTAGAATTTGGCTTTAATAGAAAGCTGGAAAATGATATATGGGATGTGTGATGGATGTTCAATTGGGTACGTGGTTGCAGAGATATAGTGAGTACCAGATACTACACAGTGTCGAAAGAGTTATATAAAGGAAAGAGAGTGTGTGTGTGTGTAAAAGAAAGTAATAAAAGAATTCCACAACAGGCTGAAAAGTGTAAAGTTGAATTGAAGAGAATAAATGTGTGTTGTGATTTGAGAAATAAAATGCCCAACTTTGGGCTGAAGAGTAGATGATCCATATATGTTGTTGAGTAAGATGGATGATTCAATCAAAGATAATGTGTCTCCAGTAGCGCTCCGGCTTGTGAAGATTTGACAGGGCTTCGGATAATGTTTATAGTTAGCAAATTGAGATGTCGTTTACTCGAATTCAAAACTTGGATATTATATTTGACGTTTGATCCCATGGAACCATGCTTATGCCAATATCTTTATGTGATCTCTGCCGCGATGCACAATGGATGAAGGCGCAGGATTTGCATGAAAGCAAAAAGGAAATAAATTGAATCATCAAAACACCATTGTTTCACTATATACATTATACACGCGAAGTCTGGCAGTTCCGTGATACCATTGAAGAATGGCATAAAGTATTAGAATCACTATATGCCACTTCACCATAGCTCCGATCGGAGATTTAACGTTTGATCATCACAAGCAATACAGCGCTAATTGAAATCAAGCAATGAAATACCTTATATCTAAAATTACTTTCTATCCACCTTCCCAATTTTTTTATACATTTCAGCACCTGTTTCTTTGTGTATTCCGCTCCAAGCGAATGTAAATTTTATTTTAATTTGAGCACCTTTTTAAATTCCTCGTTAGGAAACTTTTAGGTATATCAGAGAACTTTATCATCCCAAAATCAACAAGGAGCACGTCGGCATAGCTCAGCTGGGAGAGCGTTAGACTGAAGATCTAAAGGTCAGGTGTTCGATCCACCTTGCTGACACAATTCGCTCATTCACAACTCGAAAACAGTCGAGTTGGAATCATCTTTTGTTTATTTTTTATCAATTTTGGGTGATCACGTGATTTTTTTTGCTCTTGCCTACATTTCAAATGAGTCATGTTTACCGGTTCTTTCAGTTGCATATTTTATCATTAATAGAAGGGTTGGATAAGCATACAAAGTTTAAAAATGATATATGAGTAATAACAATCTCCATTTGATTTTGATCATTCATCACTAGCTAAGGTCTTGATTCAGATCAAATCATAAAGATTGAACTTGTCGTACATTTCCTATTAGCATTAACTGCCTCGTTATCATTTATATCAATGATCATTAAAAGCAAACGTAGCTTTGTTATATTAAAAATTCTCTGATCATACATTTGGATCAATGATGCAATATATTCTAATACTAAACATACAATAAGCCTAGTGGGATCGGTCTTATGTGGTGGTTGCTTTTAATCGTTGCTCGATCTAGGCGTTGTTGCTGTATGATTGGAATGGTCACTTTCTATGGATGGCGCATTGATAACAACTATTGGGTTTTCTTGACTCTGCGTATTGTCATGCACCTTATCACACTGCTGGGATGGATCTGCTTTATTTGAACTGAGTATGGAATGCTGCTTGGTAAACCAGGAGACTATAAATGCTTAACATCAAGTCAGTATATCTTTGTTTGATTATGATATGAATAACAAACCTAATCCACCGAGTCCCGAAGTGACATGCCATATGTTTTTCAAGGAATCTGCATAAACTTGCTTCACCGCTTGAATATATTCAACAGGAAGACTTCCATGGATCGCTTCAGGGGAATCCAGTATATCGTTGACATAGTTGATAGGAACTGCCAATGGGAGTCCATTCTCAAGGCCCGAGTTGAAAAGTGCAGAAGCAATAGCAAGACCCAACGTGCTTCCAACCAAGCGCATAAAAGAGTTCAAGCCAACCATGACAGCTAATTGTAGAACAAATAAGTTTCAAGTTTTGATTCTTTCACATGAGACGGTTACCAATATCTCGCTTCTCGACCGAAGCTTGAGCTGAAATATTCGTTGCTATAAACATCAATCCGAATCCTGCACCTCCAATGGCCAAGGTTCCATAAATCTCTAAACACAATAATGATGAGCACTGATTTGTCTCTGATGGCATGATAATCACTCACGTCCCCAACTGGTGCTGATATCCAATAAACTTAACAAGCCAATACCGGTGGCAACCAATGCAGATCCAACATATAAAAGAAACTTGTATTTTCCAGTCACTGCAATGAATCTCCCAGCAGAAATCGTGAAAATTGATAGTGTAAATTGCATCGATAGCATCCGTAAACCTGACATGGTTGCTGTATCATCTCGAACAACCTGAAAGTAAATTGCCATGTGGAATATCATTGACTGAAAACACATCGATACGAAAAAGGTGCATAGCAGTATTGCAACCACTGAGCGATTCTTGAATAGTCGTGGTGGCAGCACAGGTTCGACAGCAACCTTGATTTCGACAAACACCAAAAGTGCGACAAGTACACCTGCTACTACCAGTGGTAGCTATATATGCAGCATATGATGAATAATGTTTCACATTCGCATTTCTTATATCCTTACAATAACAGCAACCAAACCCCATGTCCGTATTTGACCACCGAAATCAATAGCTAGCAAAACTAATATAGCGGAAGCCAGAACCAAGGCGCATCCTATAGTACATTGGCACCTTGGTAAAATTGCAAGTTATGACATTAGCGTGACATACCTGCAAAATCAATTCGCTTGATCCGTGTCTTGATATCTTGCTTTTCGATCGGTAAATGCAAGAAAAAGATGACAATTGCTATTGCTGCTGCTCCGATAGGGATACTATACGAGTTTATGATATGAGTATGCTGATGAGTTGCCCAGGGTGTGCAACGCACTTTATAAAGAAATTCCATCGCCATGATACATAATCAGTAAAGCTTCCCTATCAGACATGTCATTATTTCGCATGTTGTAGAGCAGCAGTGTACGCTTACTCCCATGAGCGGTCCACAAATGCTTGATGAAGTATAAACAAGATTGACCATTCTAAACAGAATAGAATGAATTACATGATCGTTGCATCCAGTCATAGTCTTACGCCTGATAATTGCCCCGTTTTTCCAAAGGTACCAGATCGGCTATAATGATCATCACCTATTGCACCTTAGGGTCAACTTGATCGATCACTAAAAGTAATCATCATACCATGGAAAGTATCTATGTCACGGTGTGAATCAAATGTATTGCGCTTATTCTGATACTTACACCTGAAGCTCCGATACCTTGGAATGCTCTTGACACGATCAACCAAATCATTGACTATATTGGATGATCAATATGAGTAACAAATCAATAAAGAATGGAGAGATCGTACCTGTGCTGTACCACAAAATACTGAAGCCAAAACAAATAAAACCGTAGAGAGCACTAGTATTGGTTTACGACCGAAAATATCGGATAGTTTTGCAAGCAGTGGTTCTGTCGTATCATTAAAGCATGTATTAGCTGTTTGTAAGAAGGAATCCAGGATATAACATCATACGGAAAGCAGTCTGCGTCAGCAAATAACTATAATTTTCCACCCCGTTAATAAGCTTGGATGTCATAGCCAACAATATGTATATGAGATTACTTACGCACTAGCTACCCAAACAGACAAAGTCATTGCTTGAAACTCGGACGCTATCCGTGGAAGGGATGTTGACAAGATAGTTCTACTCTAGCCAGTTACTACACACATGTCGGTTACAATTCCAGCAGTAACATACATGTCAAGTGCTGCCATAAATAATGCAAGCTGTAAACCAAAGAATGGAAGTATACGTGTAATGATCCAACTTCGTTTTCGTTGTTGATTATTAACATTGTCATCTGAACACTCTGCTCTGCAAATGCTGTCCTGGGTTTCACTATGGTTTATCACATCGACTGTCGTCTTTTCCATAGTTGATACTGAGTTTTCTTTTTCCATATAGTTTATGAGTGTTGTGAGTATTAATGAAACAAAAGAAAAGAACAAAAGGGTCAATTTGCATATCTCTTCGTTTTTCAAAGATTCGGAAACCAAACGGGCTGCCATATGCATAGTGCGCATGCATAAGTGGAAAGGGGTCGCTGACGATCAGCCAGTACTCTCTTTACCAAAGTACGGAGTGATGATGCAAGATGCATAGCATTGCATGAAAATGTGGCACGATGGACAACATGACATGCAATTTGCCATACATCACTGCGAGAATTGTGTGTTGCAATTGCTTATCACTCAAGTTGTGCTGCAGTACATAACAGCATTGTCATGTTGGCATATGATGTCACACTTTTTGGTGTTAAGAAATGTGTTATGATGAATACAGAGATCGACACCATAAAGTGCAGTATTCCATTCTTAACCGGACACGAACGTTCGAGTACCCCTTTTCAACGTAGAAAGGGGATGTATTGCATTTATATCGACATATGATCAAAGATGAAATCTTGCTATATTACAGTGTTTTGCTTTATATAAATGGATGGATGGAAACAAAAGGCATATATACAAGTAGTAATGGGATGATGCTATGCAAGAGAAGGAGGTGCTATGTAAGAGGATACTGCTACTTCTGCCACAGCCATTTCGATATTCGGCCCAGAGTCGTTTCCTGTGTCTTTATGTTCTCACTCCTGATACTGCAATTCGAATATGACATGTTCATATATGCTGATCTCATTGATCTCATTGATATTGAGCCCGTAAAAGTGGAATGCTGCGGAATCAGTTGTGCTTGGCGTATACTACGTTCCTCCTCTTGGTAATAATCGATTGGCTGCTTGTAGTAGGCAAAGTACACAACCAAATATAAGGCAATGATCATTCCCCAACCGCCGACAATGATGCACAATACTGCCAAGGGTCCTAGTAAACCTGCTGCATTCGTATCGCTCAAGATTGCCACAAGCACCGATGTCCATAATATACAGCTGAAAGATGCAGTCCGGAAAAAGTTGATCTGTTGACATATCTCTCAGTAAACATATCAAGGTAGCATTTTCTCTTATTACCTTATCCACATAACAAGGTCGTGTTTTAATGTTATAACATATCATTGTCAACAATATTGTAATGGATAGAATCGCACGCATCCGGTTTCTGTTGGTGGTCGTTTCCACAAGGAGATACACAATCGTCAACAAGAGTCCTATGTTTGATGTTAGTAATGACACATGAATGCTTTGGTTTATTAAAAGTTACCCATGTTCTTTATAAATGCCACGCTAATAGACTTGAAGGCGATTTCATTGTGTTCTGGAACACGCTCATAGCTTGAGACAAAGATCGTCAAGAGGAAATATGCCACCACATAACCAGCGAGTGACATCCATAGATATAGTTGTTGAGATATACTTGGAGAATAACATCGCAGTGCCGTCGCAAAGTCGTTGGTGCTGACATTGAGAGATTGACATGCCGCTGAACTGACAAACGTGGTCTATTGCATCTTGGTTACTATGGTTATTGCTTCACACTATTCGTATTGACTTACCAACAAAGGGATATAGAGTAGTGTCTACATAGTAATAATGTCAGTTTCCCAATCATCAATTCATGCATTGGCATGTTTTTAATTACCGTAACAGGAATACACCAATAAACCCAGCGATTCGGAATTTTGTATGGTCGCCATGCATTGATCCCATTGACAACCATGGCAATGATCAACCCGAGGATAGCAACAGCATATACAGTCCAAAGCGAATATGTGTACCATGTAGGCGTTCGCATATCTGGCATAAATCCACCAACGTTCATGATGATATTGACAAATTCAAAGAACCGTAGTTGATTGTTTCTTCCTTGTTCGTCACTCGCTGCACCGTCGTTGCTGAATGAGTTGACAGTAATAAGGTCACGTAACGGAAACGCCAACAGTTGAAAGAATTCGATAACGAGAATAGCAATCTGCACCCAGTTGGACCACATTCGAGCATTCCA